TAAGAAGGGTATATATAGAAGTTTATCATTCCGTTTCTAATCGCTACAATATAAATTACCGACCCTATGAAGAATATATCGTACTTCCAGTTCAAAAGTGACTCAATCGTAAATAATTATATCGGAATAAAATTTATCATATGATAAGTCTTGTATATATAAAACTTTTTCCGGATCGGTTCATTATTATACCCTACACCACTATAGTATATGTGGTGTGATACGTTTGTACTGATGTTTGTTTGGTCCTACACCCACCTTAAAGTATAATGATCGACTCAGAATCACTTTCTGAGTCGATTAAGACATGGCTGTCTATATAAACCTTGTGCTCAAGCTACAGCCCACAATTTTCAAGATATTTTGATAAATACGAGCATAAGAACGTGCAAAAATTTACTTATAACCATTAGTATTACGGCGAAATATTTGACCCTAACTCCCATATAAAGCCTCTTTTAGAAATTTAGTTTTTCATCAATAAATTTCTTAAATACATCGGAATTAAAATAAAATTCAACATAAAAGTTTCTTTATGAAAAATAAATAATTTTTAAAATATAACCATGGTGTAGGGTATCATATAGTCTTCCATGTCCGACTATACTTTCCTATTTGATTTTATCTATAAATATTCAAGGTGTTAATAAAAGACTATTCTATACATATGTATGTGAAGGGTATTTAAGATTCGTCTTAGCCTAATATAGCACTCTAACCTATTTTTACATAAAGTAGTTGTTGTGTTACCACTTTTTGTTTAACCTTAGGGATTATTCTATAAAAAATGTGTTATATTTTAAAAAAATTTCTAAATATTTAGCGTATTGACATAAAAGAGTTTCTAATAGACACGATAAATTGCACATTCTATAAAGTTCAAAGGTATTTGTACTAAATGACACTTAATTAATATTAATTTTTTTTTTAACTACGTTTGTTGTATTGTATCAAAGCAGAGGTTCCCAAAATATATGGGGAAAGAGATATTTAATATATATATGTATATTAACAGAAGAACGCCTAAGTCGTTTAGGTACTAATTGTCTAAGCAAACTCCATTTTTATTTTAAATAAAATGGTTCTTAAAGAAAAACATATAAGAACCTCTGTCCTACGGAATTTCGAGCTGATGTAACATAGCACATTTTCATAGCACTTTTTTTACTATTAGTCAAATTTGCGCTTAACTATTTTAACATAAAAACTAAATTATTTGTTAAACATAAAAATTTCATGCTCAAATATTTAGGTTTGATAAAAATGTTACAAAAATTATTTTTACTATTCTTCATATTCATGAATAATTAACAAGGTTATTAAGAATTTATTTTTTTTTAATTTGCATGGAAAACTGTTTAATAAATCAAAAATAAAAAGAAGGATTTCATCATAGCTTTAAACACAATTATTCTATTTCAAAAATGAATAACTTTAAGTTTACCAACGGCCAACGTCAATCAGTCATTTAAGTATTTCTTTTTTTAAGACATTTATGTTGAACTCCTTCATTATATCGCTGATTATATTTTCATTAGTATGTTATACTTGTACTAAGTTTTTTCTTCTGTTTTAGCTTTCATTTCATTTTCATTCTTTTCAACTTTCATTCATTTAATCATCAATCATTTTACGCTTCATCATAGTTATAACGTCATAAGGATACAAGTTGGTCATTCGTATTAGAATAACTGGTTTTTAGGAAAAACCCTATTTGATCTTTATAAATTAACTACTACACTGACATTTATGTTATAATTTATTCAATTCATCACAAATTCTTAAAATTGTTTAAAATCCACTAAATTAAATCTTAATTATAGCAGTTGATTTTAAGATAAATTTTCTCAAAAAAAAAGTTGTAAAGGGTACATAAAATTCTGCTTAACCCAACATATTACTCTAACTTTGTTAAGTTTATGTATGATATCGATCAATGTCATGTGTAAAGTAAGGTTTTTTTTCTCCAACTCATTATGGTTTAATTAAATCACATTTAGAAAGGAATATGTTTGCCTTTTTTCTCCAATAAGAAAACGTTAAAGTTGTAGCAAAATTAAAAGGATTCTTTATGATTATTAAAAAAGCAGCATAAAGAAAATAGTTGTGTAAAATTGTGTAAAACACATTATTTTAACAACAATTTCTAAAAATTGCAAAAAATCTCTTTTTTCAAGGAAATTTTCGAGAAAAATTAAAAAAAAAAAAGTATTTCTAAAAAATTTTTTTGAGAAAATTCTCTTTTTGTAGAAATTTTTCGAGAAAATTATCTTTTTATATAAAATTTTCGAGAAAATTTCCTTTTTATAGAAAATTTCCATTTTTTAGAAAATTTACGGAAAAATGTTCTTCTTTCTAGAAAATTTTGGGGAAAATTCACTTTTTTTAGAAAAATTTCCGGAAAATTCTTCTTTTTTTTAGAAAATGTTCGGGAAAATTCTCCTTTTTTAGATAATAATTTTTGAAATAATTCCCTTTTTAATGAAAAGTTTTTAAGAGAATTCTTTTTTCAAGGAAATTTTCGAGAAAAATTTTCTTCTTTCTAGAAAATTTTGGGGAAAATTCTCTTTTTTTAGAAAAATTTCAGATAAATTCTCCTTTTTTTAGAAAATTCTCTTGTTTCTAGAAAATTTTCTAGCAAATTCTCTTTTTATAGAAAATTTTTGAGAAAATTTCTTCTAATAAAAAATGTTTGAGAAAATTCTCTTTTTATAAAAACTTTTTGACAAGATTCTCTTTTTATAGAAAATGTTTGAAAATATTCTTTCTTTTTAGAAAATGTTCTTTTTTAGACATTTTTTTTTAAAGAAAACTTTTTAAGAGAATTCTTTTTTTATAGACAATCTTCGACAAAATCCGCTTTTCAGAAAATTTTTTAGAAAATTTTCGAAGAAATTCTCTTTTTTAGAAAATTTTCGACAAAATTTTTTTTTTAGAAAGTTTTCAAGAAAATTCTCTGAAAAAATGTTCTTTTTTTGAAAAATTTTCAAGAAAATTCTCTTTTTTTTAGAAAATTTTCGAGAAAATTCTATTTTTATAGAAAATTTTTGAAAAAATTCTATTTTTTAAAAAACTTTCGAGAAAATTTTCATTCTATAGAAAATTTTCGAGAAAATTCTCTTTTTTTAGGAATTTTTAGAGAAAATTCTCTTTTTTTTTAGAAATTTTTCGAGAAAATTCTCTCTTTTTTTTTGAAAATTTTTGAAAAAATTTTTTTTTTTTTTTTTTTTTTTTTTTTTGAGAAATTTTCAAGAAAATTCTCTTTTTTTTTAGAAAATTTTTGAGAAATTCTCTTTTTTTAGAAAATTTTCGAGAAAATTCTGTTTCTATAGAAAAATTTCGAGAAAATTCTCCTTTTTTTTAGAAAATTTTCAAGAAAATTCTCTTTTTTTAGAAAATTTTCGAGAAAATTCTCTTTCTATAGAAAGTTTTTGAGAAATTTTACTTTTTATAGAAAATTTTCGAGAAAATACTCTTTTTTAGAAAATTCTCTTCTTTTTAGAAAAAAAAATTCCTCTTTTAGAAAATTTTTAAGAAAATTTTTTTTTTATATAAATTTCAAGAAAATTATCGAAAAATTCTCTTTTTTATAGAAATTTTTTAGGAAAATTAAATTTTTATAGAAAATTTTTTGAGAAAGTTCTCTTTTTAAAGAGAATTCTCTTCTTTTTAGAAAATTTTCGAGAAAATTCTCTTTTAAGAAAATTTGAAAAAAAAAAATACTCTTTTTATAAAAAAATTTTAAGAAAATAAACTTTTCAATTCTCTTTCTTTTGGAAAGAAAATTCCCTTTTTATAAAAAATTGCGAAATAATTATTTCATATAGATACTTTTTAATAATATATTATTTATAGAATATTTTCGTAAAAATTATTATGTTTTTAAAAAATTTTCGAGAAAATTCTCTATTTTAGAAAATTTTTGAGAAAATTCTCTATTTTTAGAAAATTTTTGAGAAAATTCTTTTTTTTTAGAAAATTTTTGAGAAAATTCTCTTTTTATCGAAAATTTTTGAAAAAATCTCTCTTTTTGTAGAACATTTTGAGAAACTTCTCTTTTTTTAGAAAATTTTTGAAAATTTTTGAGAAAATTGCCTTTTTATAGAAAATTTTCGAAAAAATTATCTTTGTGTAAAAACTTTTTAAGAAAATTATCTTTTTATGGAAACTTTTCAAGGAAGTTTCCTTTTTAAAAAAAAATTCTCTTTTTTTTTTCATCCTTGTACATTTTAAATTTCTTTATGAACTAATATAATATTGTGATTTATTATGACAGACATTACAATTTAGATAGTTAATGCTGAACGGCAACAAATTGATGTCATTTGTAAATGCAATTATTTTGTTTTCCAAAATTACTTTAATTCTAAATTTAACAGCAAAAATGTAATACATTATACATAAAAATCTGAATGCAGGAAGAGAAATCATCGGTAAAAAATAACATCGTTGTCATCATCAGTAAATACATGTTGGCAATGATGATGAACAACTAAAATTTATTTAAAAATTCCCAACATGCAGTTGCTACATGAAATGTGTCATCGGCGTTGTTATCACCATCATCATTATCATCGATTCGATTTGCTATTGGGACAATTTATTGATGAAATATAATTCAAAATATAAAGGTTTATGAAATATGCAGTGACGTTAAACAATATACAGTGATTAACCCAAAACTACAAACTGCTTATGAGGTTAAACTCCGTTTAACATAACCCCATCTTTATCTTAAGTTCATTTCCTCGTTATGCTTTTTTTCGTCTGTTTTACACTGAAATATTTAATTATCTAAATGCATTCATTCATTCATGTTCTATTCACTTTTCATTAAAACAACTGCTTCCTTTGTTCATTATATTCATTGTTTTTTGGTTAAAAAGAAAAAAGGTGCTTTTGTTCTGTTTGGTCTTTATTTTTAACATATTTTAGACTTCTTTCGTTTCGTTTAAACACCAACCAAAATTTTGTTTTTCATTTTTCTTTTGTTTTTCAAGGCAACACTACTGATCCAACTACCACCACATCTAGTCATACAATTAAAAAGGCTTCCACTTCTGCTATCGTGCCCTCTACTGCTACTAAAGTTAGGAAAATTAAAACCAACATTGTTGACAAAAACAATGTGAAAATTACAAAAACTGAAAACATTTCCTTAAATAATGAAATTAATTTAACAGGTATTCGTATTTGAAAACAATCTGCATGACTTTTATAACACATTTCCGTTGTTATTTTTACACTTTTTCACACTCCTCCTCCCCCCATCACTTTATCCGTTTTCTTTCATTTATAAAATTTTATTTCGTTAAAGTTTTTTTTTGTTTCAATATTTATTCTTTAATTTTTTAACTTAATTTTTTCTCATTTCCTCTCGGCTTTTATTGCACTTTGCCATGCAATGTTAACATTTTATTCCACGTAAAACAATTTCTTCGCCAAAATAGAATTGAATTTAATACAAATGAAGTTGACAGAATTGAAATTATTATGTCGCGGTTGTGGCCTGAAGGCCAGTGGTAAAAAATCCGTATTAATTAAACGTTTGCAGGATTATATTGAGCAACAACAGCAGGAATTGCTACAACATCAACACAATGTGACCACAAGAAACAGCAATGACAAAACATCATCAACCAACGACACATTGTCTACACCACCCACCACTATTGCTGCTAAACCGAATCTGGTTGCAACTGCTGTATTGCAACAAAATGCCTGTCAAACTCATTATTCTTCCCTCCACTCAGATTCTATAGGAATTGTTAATAATGTTGATACGAGTAATAATCATGTTGGTATGTATCAATTTTGAATTCTATATCCCTCCCAATAGACATCATTATAAGGACTCATAATTATAACGTTTTTTCCGCTTCCCTTTTAATGTAATGAAATTGGTTACTAGTAATTATTGAAATAAAGTTTATAACATTTTATGAAATTAATTGCTAAGGTTTGGTTTTTAATTTAAGGTAAAATATCTAATGTAATTTTATGTTTAAGTTAATAGTTAGTCCATAACAATAAAGAAAGTATTATTTCGAAAATTGTCTAACAAGAAAAGAGAATTTTCACGAAGATCTTCTATAACAAAGAGAATTTTCTTTAAAATGTTCTATAGCAAAGAGAATTTTCTCGATAATTTTCTAAAAAAAGAGAATTTTATGAAAATTTTTCTATAAAGAAGAGAATTTTCTCGAAAATTTTCTATCAAAAAGAGAATATGTTCGAAATTTTTCTATTAAAAAGAGAATTTTCTGGAAAATTTTCTAAAAAAAGAGAATTATCTCGAAAATTTTCCAATGAAAAAGATGCTTTTCTCAAAATTTTTCTAAAGTGAATTTTTTAAAAAGTTTCTATAAAAAAGATAATTTTCTTGAAATTTTTCTCTAAAATGAAAATCTCCTAGAACATTTCCTATAAAAAATGAATTTTTTTATAAAAAGAAAATTTTCAATAAAAAGAGAATTCGCTCGAAAATTGTCTATAAAAAGAGAATTCACTCGAAAATTGTCTATAAATAGAGAATTTTCTCGAAAATTTTCTAAAAAAAGAGAATTTTCTCGAAAATTTTCTAAAAAAAATAGAATTTTCTCGAAAATTTTCTAAAAAAAATAGAATTTTCTCGAAAATTTTCTAAAACAATAGATTTTTCTCGAAAATTTTGTATAAAAAGAGATTTTTCTCGAAAATTTTTAATAAAATGAGAATTTTCTCGAAAATTTTCTGAACAAAAGAGAATTTTCTCGAAAATTTTCTAAAAAAGGAGAATTTTCTCGAAAATTTTCTAAAAAAGGAGAATTTTCTCGAAAATTTTCTAAAACAATAGATTTTTCTCGAAAATTTTGTATAAAAAGAGATTTTTCTCGAAAATTTTCAATAAAAAGAGAATTTTCTCGAAAATTTTCTGAACAAAAGAGAATTTTCTCGAAAATTTTCTAAAAGAGGAGAATTTTCTCTAAAATTTTCTAAAAGAGGAGAATTTTCTCGAAAATTTTCTAAAGCAATAAATTAATAATTTTATCGAAAAATTTCTATAAAAAAAGAATTTTATCGAAAAATTTCTATAAAAAAAAAGAATTTTATCGAAAAATTTCTATAAAAAAAGAATTTTATCGAAAAATTTCTATAAAAAAAAAAAAGAATTTTATCGAAAATTTTCTATAAAAGAGAATTTTCTCGAAAATAAAAAGAGAATTTTCTCGAAAATGTTCTATAAAAAGAGAATTTTCTCGAAAATGTTCTATAAAAAGAGAATATTTTCGAAAATGTTCTATAAAAAGAGAATTTTTCGAAAATGTTCTATAAAAAGAGAATTTTTTCGAAAATGTTCTATAAAAAGAGAATTTTCTCGAAAATGTTCTATAAAAAGAGAATTTTTTCGAAAATGTTCTATAAAAAGAGAATTTTCTCGAAAATGTTCTATAAAAAGAGAATTTTCTCGAAAATGTTCTATAAAAAGAGAATTTTCTCGAAAATGTTCTATAAAAAGAGAATTTTCTCGAAAATTTTCTATAAAAAGAGAATTTTCTCGAAAATTTTCTATAAAAGAGAATTTTCTCGAAAATTTTCTATAAAAAGAGAATTTTCTCGAAAATTTCCTATAAAAAGAGAATTTTATCGAAAATTTTCTATAAAAAGAGAATTTTATCGAAAATTTTCTATAAAAAGAGAATTTTCTCGAAATTAAAAAAAAAAAAAATTTATCGAAAATTTTCTATAAAAAGAGGATTTTCTTGAAAATTTTTTATAAAATAGAGAATTTTCTCTAAAATTCTTTAAAAATAGAGAATTTTCTATAAAAAAAGAAAATTTTCTCGAAATTTTTCTATAAAAAGAGGATTTTCTTGAAAATTTTTTATAAAATAGAGAATTTTCTCTAAAATTTTCTATAAAAAAAATAATTTTCTCGAAAATTTTCTATAAAAAGAGGATTTTCTTAAATTTTTTTTTAAAAATAGAGAATTTTCTAAAAAAAAAAACAAAATTTCTATAAGAAGAGAATTTTCTTAAAAATTGTTTATAAAATAGTGAATATTCTCTAAAATTTTCTATAAAAAAGATAATTTTCTCTGAAATTTTTTATAAAAATGAGAATTACAGAATTTTCTCTAAAATTTTCTATAAAAAACAGAAATTTTCTCTAAAATTTTCTATAAAAAACAGACATTTTCTCTAAAATTTTCTATAAAAAAGAGAATTTTCTCGAAAAATTTTCTTTAAAATGGAAATTTCTCTAAAATTTGTTTATAAAAATGAGAATTTTCTCCAAAAATTTTCCATAAAGAACAGAATTTTTTCTAAAATTTTTCTCGAAAATTTTCTATAAAAAAGAGAATTTTCTCTAAAATTTTCCATAAAAAATAGAATTTTCTCTAAAATTTAGTATTTTGCAAAAACTTAAAAAAAAATAAATTCTGAATTTTTCTAAAAAAAAATTTTCGAAAATTTTCTAAAAAAAAAAAAATTTCGAAAATTTTCAAAAAAAAAATTTTTCGAAAATTTTCTATAAAAGGGGAATTTTTTCGAAAGTTGTCTATAAAAAAATTTCTCAAAAAGTTTCTATAAAAAAAGAATTTTCTAGAAAATTTTCTACAAATTAAATAAATTTTAAAATTTTTTTGGTAATTTTTAACTTATCAACTTTTTTACTAAATTTAAATAAAAATGTTGAATGCATGTAAATAATTGCAAAATGTTTTCGCTGAATAAACATAAAACTTTGCCATTTACATTCTACTTATAATAATTAATTGCATTATTATTATTGTAATTATTGTTGTTATGTTCATTTCGAATTAGTAACGTTCATTATGCAAAATTTGAAATTAACAATTTTAACACCTCCCATGCACACAAACACACGTACATACATACTTATTGCAAACAAAGTACAAGGTACTTTCATAAATCCATATTTATATACAACAACCACAAGGTAAACAAACAGTAACAACAATTTAAACTTTCGCTTTAAGGATACTTCCTTCCGTTTTGACAAACCGAACGGGTTAATTAAAAATTTAACAATATTGTGCGTGTTTTCAACTTCACTCACGTTTGACACATGCATAATAAGATTATTTGACACGTGTTTAAAAAAAGCTAAATGAAAACAAAAACATAATGGAAATTTCATTCATTCACCCACTCTCCCTTACCAACTTTTATTTTACTTGACACATAAAGAGTGGAGAGGACTGTCCAAGGACATGTATGCATAAATGCACACGCATAAATGACCCACTTTTCAAATGCCATGGTAAAGTGTTGGTAATTTTATAAAGGTGTAAGTAAATTAATTCGTACAGTTTTTTTTTCTCTTAATTGTTGTATTTAATAAATGTATAGAAGAACATTATGTAAATAGAAAAATGGTAAAATAACGTGCTGTAAAGTTAAGCACCATGAAAGAGAAAGTAATATGTGGCAGAGGTTACTTTCAACTCACCAATTACTTTTTGTAAGAACTTTTACATGCATTCTTACACTTTAAGTTGTTTAGAATTATACACATTTTCACCTAATTTCTAAACAGGGTGCACTATTTGGATGTAATAAAAATTTTGGAAAATATAAGTGATTGCAGAGAGTTATCAAAGCTGTCACATTATTGCTTAGTTGACATTTTACCAAAAATACTCCCAAACCCAATCGTTTAACTCTAAATCTATTTCTATTAAAAACCAAAAGTTTTTACAAAACTGATTGATTTTTTTCGTCACCCATTCTAAGTGACCAACTTTCAACTAACTCAAAGTGAAGAAAACCTCATTTGTAACATCAGTTTATACACTTGACAAAGTTTGAACTAAAACAAAACAAAAAACGAAAACATGTTAATACTTAATGTTATTCCATTTTGTCAGCTTAGCTGGTGGTGGTTAGCCAGCAGCAGGAGAAGTTAAAAAGCCTTAAAGCAAAAAACAAAACCCTTACAAAACGCATTGTAATTCTACTTTGACGACTAGTAAAAAGTTTTTTTTTCTACTCGAAAATAACTTGATTTTTCTTTAACAAAGTTAAAAAAAATTATAAGAATTTAAATCAAGCTGAAAAAGCAGAAAACGATGACATGAAATACTACTTAAACAGCTTAGATAAAAATTAAAACACAAATTCTCTTTTCAATATCTCTTTTTATGGAAAATTTGGAAAAACTCTTTGTATAGAAAATTTTCGAGAAAATTCTCTATTTTATAGAAAATTTTCGAGAAAGTTCTCTCCTCACAGAAAATTTTTGGAAAAATTATTTTTCTAAACATTTTTGAAAAATTATCTTCTTAAAGAAAATTTTCGAGAAAATTCTCTTCTTATATAATATGTTTGAAAAAATTCTCTTTGTGTTGAGATAATTTTAATGAAAATTATTTTTCTTTAGAAATTTTTCGAGAAAATTTCTAATTCTAGTCTAGTGTCTAGTCTAGTCTAGCGTAGTCTAGTCTATAGTCTTGTCTATGGTCTAGTCTAGTCTATAGTCTAGTCCAACGGTTCCCAAAAGGGGGTCCGCGGACCCCTAGTGGTCCGTAGCAAAATCCTAGGGGGTCCGCGAAGACGAACGAAAAAAATCATTCTCTATATGTTAGAAAATATTAAAAATATCTCCAAATTTTTCATAAATACTAAAATACACAACTTTTATTCAATAATCCCAGATTTGTTGGTGACTTTTTGAATTTTATTGTTTCGGTCGTTTATCAGGATGAAGCTAGGCCCTACAAATTTATTGTTTCACTTTTATAAAGTAAAGTATTACGTGATTTCTAATTTTTATAAATGTATATGTATCGAAATA